TTCAGCAGGTCCACCTAGAGGGAAGGCTGTGAGCATTTATGACCAAACCTAGCAAAACCATCACTCATACCTTAATTATTTTGAGCCTAAATTACTGTAATTCACTTCACATAAAGTTATTTAGAAGCTCCAGTGCAGAAGGTGGCTGCCTGCTTTCAGATCATCAGGCCTTCAAGAGTACATTACGTGACTGCCCCAGAATTTACACCGGCTCCCTATTATCTTCCAGACATAATTCAATGCAATTTATATCTATAAAGCTCTAAATAGCTGTGTACCCATACTTCTGAAACCACCTGCTCCCTTATGTACTTCCCAACTCAGTTCAAGCATCTCTGTATCATATTGTCCATTCCTACCTCTTTTTGATCCCAACCTTTACCAACAAAATTTCCAAATTCTATGAATCTGCAAGCCACTACAGTTAGAATTAGTCCAGCTAACAATTTCATGCAGCTTGACTTAGATTTCAGAATGTGTTGTACATACACAATAATGCATGTTTCCTTGGCAAAGAAACCGGACTTTTTTTCTTTCTTGGCAGAGTACATGAATCACTCTGCCTCTTCAGCACTAAACAGAAGGGTGTAGTTGCAGAAATCTCTAACACATATTCCTCCCCCAACCACATAGGTTTTATTAACCCACAAAGTAGCATGAAATAAACAGTGGTTTGTGGGAATTATACTTTTTCCCAAATAAAGAGGAAAAACCACTTAGAGGAAAGTGCATCAACAGTTGTATTTAATTTCAAAAAGTAAAAATACCCCACCTTCAAACAAACAGATCTGACTTATTTACATTCTTTACAGGCATTTCCCAAGTATATACAAAAAGTTGCAATATATTAGTTCAGAATTGTCCATAAAACTCTGCATGGATTGCATATTTACATTTTTTTCATTGCAAGTGAAATAAAGTTCTATAATTTGGTGCATATGCTTGTCCAATACATGATATAGCACTATTTCCCTCTCAGCCCTGAGCCATTATAATGAACAACAGTGAGCCATTTTACCCATATTCCCTGCATGGACAAATGATGTTAAAAAAATAAAAGTCATCTGTTCAAGTCTTAAAAGCAATAGGAAAGCCCAGCATCTCCCACACTCAATAAAACAGCAAAAACTATTTTCTTTTAAACTTCTTTTAAACTTTAAACTTTTTTAGACTTCCCTGAACTGCATATTCCTCTTCATATAACATACAAAGAGGAAAAAAGTGAATACTCTGAGATATAAATGCTTTCTTGTTCATTTGCTAAAAAGCAACCAGGTATCTTGACACTCTGGATTTGGTCTTTGTGGGTACCAATTGCCCAGAGACTGCAGTGCAGCGGATGAATGGTTGGGGTGCTCACCACCAGTGTTCCCTCTAAGCTGAGTTACTGTGAGCTAGCTCACAGTTTTTTAGCCTCCGGCTCACACATTTTCCTCTTAGCTCAGAAAGGATGGCTCCTGAGCAAATTAATGTATGCAGTAGTCAAATTGCTTGCTCACAACTTTAATGCCAGGAGCTCACAAAGTAGAATTTTTGCTCACAAGACTCCACAGCTTAGAGGGAGCATTGCTCACCACCTGGCAGGACAGAGTCTCAAAGCAGGTTCCAATTTGTAACACAGTCTTGCTGGAATTACAGGTTACAGATTACTCCTTTCCTTTCGTATCTGAAGTTCTCCCAGAGGAGTAAAAAGCACTAAGTCACATAGCATCTTTCCACACGGTCAGAAAAACCCATGTTCTCCCTACAGCTGCTCAGAAACTCTCAGAAAGCCACAGGATTGCACTTTGTACAAATGCTGCATTGAATTTTTGAAACCAGTCTAAAAGTTGCAGTTTTGAAAAATATCATTGGCCCCGGGCACACGGGCCGGATATCGCGGGGGGGAGGCGTGGCTGTTTGCCCCGCAGCGAAATAACGCGCCACTGCGCGATCAGGCATCCCTCGCGGTCCCGTCAAGGTCCCGTGGTTAGGGGAGAGGTGCCAATCACACAACGCGCCAAAGAAGCGGCGCGGCACTGCAAACGGGGTTGTGTGTGTGTGTGTGTGTTTACCTGAAGTATGCGCATGCCCTGTTGGGTGCTTGTGCGCATCCCTGGAGACTTCGACGAAAAAAAAACCTTTTCGCAATGGGGCATGGGCGGGCGCCGGATGCCACCGGAAACGTGATCAGACGCCCGCCCTTGCCCCGCGGTTTCCGGAAACTAGTACCTCCGAGGTACTAGTTTTTAACCGCGCATCTTCAGAGGGAAGTCTCGGGTTCGCCACGGGAGCTCTACGCTTCCCAGATGTGGCGGTGAGATCGTGCCCGAAAAATCTGCCTATCTTCCATCGCAGTAGCGTGGCTACTGCTCCGTGTGACCGCAGCCGTAGTGACTTAAACACTAAGTTTGCATTCAAGTGAAGACATACAGGGTGTACCTCGGCAACAGGGAAAGTCTCAGCTTGAATGCCTTGAGATCAATAAGCCTGTCCCACACCATTCACCTCTTCTTGCCATTATGTCATATCAAGTCAATTCACCAAGGCAGAGTGATTTGCTCATAGAAAAAAAACTCTCATTACTAAGGGAAACCAGCAAGTAAACTTTGTATCTTGGCTGGTGAAGTTTAACAACCAAAGTGCCATCCTCTGGCACCACAACAAGCCTATCTTTGGGATCCCAGTCACAGGATATAAGAATGCATTTGAGTTGAGACATTAACCTCTACCTAGTTTGGCAAAGCAGAAAAGACATGAAAGAGAGTTGAAACACAGGCCAAGGTACATATCTATGGGCACACGTAATGTTTTGTGGAAGAAAGAATTAGTAGCATGCAACAGAAAAGCATCAAAGGATTGCAGAGGAGTGAGAAACAGCAAAGGCCAGTTAACTGTATACACTCAATTTCTGCTGAAATGTTTTATAACCAAGCACGTGACAGATATTTCATTACCAAACTTGGAATTTGCCCAGCTTCCTACAGTTCACACATCATTGCAGACTTTGGGAAAGTATTTCCTTATGACTGTGTATCACAAACACCAATTACTCTGAAGGGCTTTTTTGTTGTTGTTTTTGAATGGCTGACTTATCTGCAGATCTGAAACATATAATCAGACTTGTAGTGTAAATTTTAATTCATAAGACGACCTGTCTTCCTGAAGGTTCCTTTGCAAGCTCATTATCCAGGCATTCAGCAAATGCCAGAAAGAATAATATTGTTCCTCTAGCCATTGCAGGAACAGACAGGGACAGGTGCTATAGCATGCACTAGAATGGTAGTTGGCACTCCAGATCAGCCATGAAAAACGGTGATTGGATGAAATGCTCTTAATCAGCTGAAAATCAGAAAACTTGGACCTCTGGTCCTTGTTGAGCAATTACTTCTGCTTTTAATTCCTTGCAGCTTGGGGAAGGGAAGGGAGAAAATGTACTGGAAGTTTAAAAACAAATGATGTAAACTCCAGAGGGAGTGAGGCTTGGCCACATGCACAGTACCTCCTAGACACAAAGGCAAAAGGCTGTGGAAAGATGAAGTGCACATGGAAAGCCAGTTGTGAGCAGGGCAGACTCATTCTCTTTCGTCCAACAAACTATTTACTGATCTACATTTGAGAAGAAAAAATATTTTTATGAGAATGCTTATACAGCGTATGCACAAGCTGGCCTGCAAAGCCACAGCTCTCTGAAGACCCTGGGGTTTACAGAAAGAAGGAATTTTTTTTTACCCTTTTTCTATTAGCAGTCAGCATCGCTGATACAATTACCTAAGATAAGGGATTTTACTACCAAGCTGGAAATGGTGTCCATACCAAACAAAACAAAGAGATTAAAACTTACACTCATCCTTGACCACAGCTGATCTGGATAAACCCAGAAACCAAGACAAAGTTGCTTGCTTCAAAAAGTGTTTTTTAAAGAACTAAAAATAAGTAAATTTTAGACTCCTATTTGCTTATCCAAGTCTTTCACCCGTTGCTTAATTGATTTCCTATAGCTTTGCCATAAATCCAGGTGCTCGTCACTGGTTCAGGAGTAATAAAAAAGCAAATTCTGCAGCCTGGATCCTATCTGCCAGCAGAAAGGGGACAGCCGTATCCCTTCTCCCATCGCAAACCCCCACTTCACACCATTATTCTGTTCCTGATGTTCCACCAGCCCCCCTCCCCCAGAGCATGATTTCAAGGGATGAAGTAGGCTGCACTGGTCGCAGGGGATGGGGTGTGGTGGAAAATTTGTTTCTGCTTATGATAAACAGGATCCAGTCTTACTCTACATGTTGTTATCAGATACCTACTTAATGATATTCTGCCCTCAAAGCTTCACACACACCCCTTTAGTGATCTCAGTCAGGTTTGCAAGAAGCAAGTGTAAGAGTTCCCAATATACAGAAAAGAGGTGAAATACAGGGGGTGGGGGTGGCAAAGGTTAGCCAGCTGGTCAAGGGAAATGCTGGAGAAGGAGGCAAATTGAAAACCAACCCTTCAAATGTCCAAACTTCCACAGTGCTATCCCCTATTTTATATGTTGATCTTTATAATACACAAATCTCCAACTTCAGAGTCATAAGCTAGTCTCACATTACAGCCTGCAAGTCAGCAATGCATGTCTGATAAAACAGAACACTCACAATTAAACAGGGAGCCTTTGGCACAGTACCCAAAAGAACTGGGCCCTGATTCTGACAGGGGTTTTCAACTGCTATTGTAATACAATTATCAATATATCCAATCTAAATTTTCTAGCAACAAAGAAAGATAGCTTGTCCCAGCCTTTTTCTTAAAACTGAGCTCTACTTATAAATAAATAAAATCTTCTTGTTTAGAAAGTTGCATTGTTAACTTAAAAAAAAATCCCTAACAGCATATAAGCATATTCAAATGGATGCCCCAGAGCCCTCACTGCTGGGCTCTAACTTCAGCCCACCTGACACATCTGTAGATTATCTTAATACAGCAGGAGCCTAAAGAATTCACCCTTGGGAAGCACCACTACAACTGTAGACAGCACATGCTTGAAACTGATCCTCTCTAAAGGCACTGGACAGAGGAGCTTGGAAGAAGCTCAAGGATAATCAACATGCATTCTAAAACGTGGATTAAGACTCAAGAAAACAACAAAACACAGGGGAAGGGGAAGAGCACAGGCATAGCCCAGTCCTTAACAACTCCCTGTTACAACCCTGCCTTTAATTACAGTCATTAGAGTATCCACCCATCAGCATTTTTAAACAAGAGATGGACAAGAGCATTCAAGCAAAATACGCATGGAAATCTTTTAACATCATTTCCTAGGCTTAGGTGGATACAGCTGCAGCAGACCAAAGTGTGGATTGATTTGGGATGTCCTCAAAAATTTTCATAAGAATAATTTCCAACACTTTCTGCAAAAATAAAATAAAACAAAACCAACCCTATAGCAAATTGCACCAAGCAGCCAAATGTTTAGTCATTTAGAAAAATCTTAGATTTGGCATTAAATTGATCCAGTCCAGGGAATTAGTAAGAATATGCATTTCAACTCATTGGTGAAGAGGGATGGGAAAGAAACTTGCAAAGTGCTTCCCCCTTGTCAAATATACAAACCCCACCTTTACCACACACACACACTGAAAGGGATGACTACATAAAGTCACACCAGAGGGTTGTTAGGGGAGCAAATGTAGTGAATTTTTACTGGAAAGAATTATGCTTGGATATTATGATAATGCAGAAAGGTTATCACATCATGGCAAAAGTTGCAGCTGCAGATTGCAGCTGCAGATGACGTCTTTGTGCCCAGGCTGTAACACAGAACCAGATCAGCGCAGATTACTCCTGCAGTGGTGTCCTCAGGCCTCAGATTACATTTCAGTAGCTTGTTCCTTTTGTAGAAGTGACCTAGATACAGACTAATAAGCAGTCTGGACAATACATCTCCAGGATGTCTGGAAAGAAGTATTTAGTAAGAATTCCCTCTGAAGTGCAGAACAGTGGTGCTCACAAAGAGTATGTTACAGATCCTCTCCCATCTCCAAACCCTTCCACTGACTTTCAAGGACAATATGTAAAAACAGAGAGATCTTGAGCTCCTCCAGTTACTCCTGATACATTGAAGGAAGGGTCCATATTATCTTGAAGGTCTGGCAAAGATGCCCTTTTAAAGTGCACAGCCTCCCTCACTGCAGATGTGCAGAATAAGGGAAACCACGTCCCTGGAAATTGCAGCTACATCATCCTCATCTCTTCTGTACTCTCCTTCCTTGTCTTTGATTGTGCAGTTTTCTCATACTGAAACCGACTTCTTTCAAGTGTTTTTAACTGGCGGATCCATCACAAACAACAGCAGGCTCTGATCCCATAGAATTAAAACTTGTTGTCCAATATTCCGTGTTCGCATAGCCTTCAGGGTGGGAAAGGCAAAAATGTTGTATGAGTCTGTTCTACGGTAATGCTACTTTTAAAATCGCAATGCACTTGCAAGCTATGCCAGTCACAAATCAGTCTGATCTCCCAAAATATTTATTTACACTTTTTGACTTCAGTGCTATGAGTCAGTTTTTCCCTTCCATCCCATGATAATGAAGTTAAAAACAGCATTCTTTTTAAAAGAACCCTGATTATCCCTTTCGGCCTACATTCTAGGAAACGAAAACAGGAGCATTCTCAAAACTGAACTCTGCACTACCACAAAATATGCAACTGTAAAGATTAACAAATGTGTTGAGCCATATCAATCCCTTTCCTTTTTTAGAGTCCTAAATCTTTACCAGCAATTAATCCATTGGCACGTCAAGAGAGTTATGACACGAACTTTTAAGGGTGAGAACCTACTTTTTCAGATGAAATAAGCATTGCCGTACAAAATGTCATACCATAAGACATTTATCAATCTTTAAGGTACCATAGAGACTCTGTCATACTTGTTCCATAGAGACTGTCATATTTGTTCCAACAGACTACATAGTTGCTTTGAGAATGAAACCTACTTAACCAAGAGTAGTTTTCTGTTCATTTTTCAGTTGTACAGCTCTGCTTTCAAGTATGGCAAAAAATAGTACAGTAGTTAATCGAAAAGAGGATGCCATGGATACTGGTGTAGCAACATTCTGCCATACATCATACCCTTTGTTTAAATAGCTGTTTGCTTTTTTACTGCTGCACAGCAAACTATGTTGATGCCTTCCAGCAAGATTTCCACAATGGCAAGGCATCCTTCCAGAGTGGGAAGTGCCAATTTAGACCACATTGTGTACACAGAGTTCATGTTTTCCCCAAAAGACAGGGTGTGGAATACATTTTCTTCTCTATTGCATAATGACACTTAGAACATTTAGCTGGGCACAATTACCATGTGCTGTAGCCATGGCTTGACCTTTTCCCTAGTGCACTGGGTACAATAGGCAGCACTGAACAGTGCCCAGAACACTATGGGCCACCTCATGCTGCAGCATAACATCAGCAAGGGGCGCAAGACAGTGCACTCACCAACATCCCCAGCCTCCAGCTCCACCACCAGCATCTGGCAATGTTCTCTGCACAATGACGAAGGAGCAGCATTCAAGGTAAGCCGGCCACTTCCAACCACAAAGGTGCTCTGCAGCCTGTAAGTCTGAAAGATATAGGGAAGGAATTTCAATTACCCCATCCTTTTAGTTTCATGGGAAAGCAAGAGCCATAAAACAGCAACACAGCCAATACAGAAGGGCAGTGTTTACTATAGGACTGATCACTATCAAAAGCCAGACAGAGCAGTCAAATTGCCCCATGATCTAAGGATCTTGCCATTTTACATGGAAGACAGGCGTGATGCTGGAGCTGTGACATCTATATGCACTTCACCTCTGTTCCTTATCACTGACTTTATCTGTGGGGAGAAAGACATCCAGGGAATGACTGCCACCATCCGTCTGGAAATTGAGAGCCACTAAGCACGAAGCATATTGGGCCAGTTTCTGGAAATTGCTTCATGTGTGCACATTTCTACCGCACAGAAAAACAGCCACAGGAAGCAATCCTCACCACCACCTGCCTGGGACACAAAAACAGCCTGTATCCAAGACAGGGACCGGAAGCTGCAGGGGACAGCTGCTTGCATGCACTCCTGTCTCCAAGTAAACATAGCCTTAGATTCAACAAACTGTTTCCTCAGACAGAAACTCATGAAACGTGATCCTACTGCTGCAGCCCAAAATACGTCCCCCTCAAAATGCTGTTTCTAGGGGTCCCCTGTCCTTCCAAAGAAGCATTTTCAGAGGGGCATTTTGAGCTGCAGGAGGAGGGGCAGAAGAGAAAGTCCTGGTCTGCAGGCAGAAATCCTTCCATCTGTGGAAATGCTCCACTGAAGATAACCCACAGAAACAAGGAACAAGCACTACCACCACTACCTAGGATTGACAGCCTCAAGATCCAAGAAAGGTGGTGGCACAAGCTACTGTAGGGAGAAATACAATGTGGATAAACCACCACAGTGGGAGCATTTCACAGTCCTAAGCCCCAATGTCAGAGGTTTCACCACCACAAAAGCAACTTTACCTAATACACTTTATCCCACTTCACTGAATACATAACTAGGAACACCAGAGTCCAAGGTCGCAAAGGGAGTATGTGATAGTGAAAGTTATTAGTTTAAGAGGAAAATGAGAAAATAAGACTGTGTGGCTAGGTCTATTTAAGGAACTTTAGAGAAAGAAGAATTGCACCTATCTGAAACAATTATGTTTATACATTTTACTGCAACTATTACTCTGTTCTACTTCTCAATAAACTCTATTTTATGTTTAAAGATAAATCAACTGTTTTATTTAAAGGATCACCCTTTACCTCACAGGCACCCCCATGGGCTGACCATTCTGTCATTCTACCAAATATAACTAAGCCATCCTGTCCTTCGGGTTCAACTAAGAAATCTAAAGTGAGAGCCTTTGATGGCAGCTAAAATACATAGGAAATGCTAAGGAAAGCAAGAAGGCAGCATAACACATGTTACCTCAGAACACTACAGAGAGGTGCCTTTACAGGTGTTACATATAAGGTGTCTTAGAAAAGAGCAAAACCTTACACAAGAACTATGTAATATGCAAATACTGGTCTTTTACATGGGGACACACTTGACCTTATGTTCAGCAAGTAACACCCTGATACCTCACTTTTGAGAATTCACAGGATACTTCCAGTCCTCTGCATGCTTGAACACAGTGACCCAAAGGTGGATACCATCTTTAAAATACTGACCTTATCCTGAAGTTTTGGGTGGTGGATGAGAAAACAGCTTTCCAAGGAAACAGAGTTTGGGGACCACAATGAAGAGAAGATGGGGAAAATCTCCTCTATAATCTGACTTTTATTCAGAGGTTTTTTCCTATAGAATATAGAAGAGAATCATAATATTATACCATACCATTTCTGCCCAGACCCAAACTATTTCAAAAAAATTTATATCTGGGCCAAGCTAGTAGTGATCCTGGACATCTGCAATCAGATTTCCCTCTTCCTCCATTGAAGGGCAGTAGCCACCAGGGGACTGAATTCATATTGGAATCATGACATGGGGGGGGGGAGTACTTAGCATTCCTTAAACCATTTCCTAAACCTAATCCCTGTCTCCCACCCTGGACCCACTATTCATCCTGTGGGAAAGCACAAATACCCATTTTGCAGCAGTAAAATAAAAATTAGTGTAATATAATTTTACCAGAGACTGAGTTACAGTCTGGGACTCCTTGAACTAAATTCAGATCACTTATCTTCTCCCAGGAGAACAATGTGATCAAGGAACCATATGGCTGATGCAACAATAACAGTAATTTTGAAAGCTCTTTAAAAAATCAAATTCATTTTGAAAGTTATATCTTCAAGAAGGGAAATAAAGGTCACCTCGTCCAATGTTAACAAAAACTGCATATGGGGCTTTGGGATTCCCAGCCTATTCACCCTTCCAGGAAAAGGGAGGGTAGTGATACATTTTAGAAATCCCAGTGTGGGAACCTGCCATGATTCATAGTTTGATATCCTGTACCCAAACTGTCCATCACAAGTTCAAGAAGTGAGAATAGCACTGAGTGATACAGAACATTGTATTCCACAAATGCTCCTGTATGCAAACAATTGTGTTTTCTCTTCCAACCCAGTCATGAAAAGGGTGCCAACTGCAAGGCTCATCTACCTACCAGTATACATGTACTGAGAAGTGGAGGGGGAGGGGCTATATGAATCAGGGTCAGTGGCATCAAGATGATGGCCAAACAAATTAGGGGGGGGGCTTCTGCATGATATAGTTGTGTGGTCACCCACCCTCCAGGTTTTCCCTGTTCACTGCATGGTTTCCTAAATCTGCTTTGGTACAATCTTTCCAGGAAGATCACACTCAAATCAGGTTTGGGATCAGTGTGCATGAAAAGGTGCACATTTCCATGTGGAAGATCTGTTGCCACATTCGCATTTGCAGCAGCAATGAGAGCAAAATGGAGAACTGTCCCAGTGTGGAAACAACTCAGGAGAATTAATAACTATGCTGCTCATTACTGTTGGTTTTCTGATGCAGCTATACTGTAACTTTTTAATATTTTCCATCTGATTGTATTATGTTGGCCACGTGATGGGTTCATATGGTTCAGGCCTATAAAACTAACCCTATATCTAAAATATACGGGATTCTTTTAAATCTTATTTCTTTTTTTCTTTTTTTAAATAATTTTAATTGGTATTTTGAATACAGAGTATATCCGCACAATACACGCTACCTAGTACATATCAATGAACATAGCTGCTTACAGTTAACAAGTGCTATAACGTTTCTCTTATTCGATTGCTAATACCACTTGAAATGCATGTTATTAAGAAATCGGGCGTGATCCCTCTAGTACATCCTGACCTATTGTGAGTCTCATAAGTGTAGCCAATCATGATATGCTGTGTTGCTCGGGAGAATTCCTCCCTTTGACATGTATTGTAGTATCGGCGACCACGTTGTCACATATCTCGTGTGTGCGGTTGTGCCCGTTTGGTGCGCTCTTTGTGTTAAATCTGCAATTTTGGCCATAATGAACTGTTGCCAAAGCTTATCATGCCACCTTGTTATAGAGGACGGGGTTGGTGATTTCCACCCTTCCGCTATCGCCAATTTGGCGGTTGCCAGGAGCGTTGAAATGGTCTCCCTGGCGTTATCTGCCAGCGAACCGTCCCATTTGTGTAGAAGTAAAACTTCTGGTTTATATTCGATTTCTTGCGACGTTATCTCTTTAATTCTGGCCGTTACCTCTTTCCAAAACGGGGTGATTTGTGGGCAGTCCCACCAGCAATGGAGGTACGTGCCTTCGTGTCCACACTTCTTCCAGCAGCTTGGGTCATTATTTGCATTTATTTTGTGAAGTTGTTTTGGAGTTAGGTACCACCTGGATATCAATTTGAAGGTTTGTAACCGTATATTGTGTACCGGCGATTTACTTGACTCTCAGTGGAAAAGGATATGGATGCCTATTGCCTTCCAGTCTAAATTGCTGAAGGTTCAACTTATTCCTGTTCAGCTGCTCCCTCGATGGTATGTGACGCTGTCCTTACTACACAGTATAAATGTTGCCTGCTCCCCTTTCTGCTGGAAGAACTGTGGTTCATTCATACATTGCTGGTGGTTATGCATACAAGTTAGACAATTTTGGGGAGTAATAATACAACATATCCAGAATATTAAAGGATATTCTATCTTAGACACACCAGAATTAATACTACTTAATATGTGCGACTACTCATAAATTCCTAAAATATGTCAGGAATTAATCATTATCCTACTCACTGCCGCTAAATGCCTTGTAGCTCAGAATTGGAAAAGTAAATGTTTACCATCTATGGATAGTTGATATTCAAAAGTTCGGGATTTTTTTTTATGGACAAAATTACAGAATCCATTTCCCAGTCTGAACCTCAACTTGGCCTTTCTAAGTTAACAGAAAAATGATTTCCTTTTCTGGAATTCACAGCACAGGATTTGAGGTTGAAGACTTAGGGTATGGAACACTGGTATCAAGATATTTTGTCTCTTCTTTGAAGTGAATTTGATTAGAAATATTGTTTATTATTAGAATTATTGTAAAAACATATTCCCAAATACCTACCTTATTTTCACTTACTTGAATAAATTTTCAATCTGCTTGTTCCTAAATTTGTCTGGCAATAGGTGAGTTTGTTTTATGTGATTACTGTTCAGTATTTGTTGTAATACGGTGATATTGGCATATCATTGTATTATTGTTATAGTTCTGATATTATTGTGATAATTGTTAATCTTCTACAACTATATCTATATTTATCTATATATAAACTAACCCTCTTTAGATTCAGGTGGGTAGCTGTGCTGTTCTGAAGCAATAGAACAAAGTATGAGCCCAGTGGAATCTTTAAGACCAACTTTGGGTATAAATTCTGGGTATAAACTTTCATGTGCATGCACAATTAATCAGATACGCAAAAGCTTATATCCAGAATTAAGCTTTGTTGGCCTTAAAGGTACCACTGGACTCAAACTAACCCTCTTTAGGAAATACTTAGAATTAAACTGATAGCTCTGAAGAGATAAAACATAGCTTAATTAGAAGTTTCACATCTTTATTGCAGTTAAGCCACCAAAGTGATCACTGCAAAGTAACTGCAGATTAACAATAACCTCTGCAGTGATTTAAAGATAAATGACTTCTGGGTGACAAAGCCTCCTTTGCTTGCACTTTCCCATGTTCTGCCTCGATGCAATGATTCCTTTTAAGGTGTTCATTCTCATGAATTCCATGCAAACAATCCACCCATTATGGGAGGCTTGCCTGAATCCAAAAGTCACCTATAGACTGTTGCAGCCGACCTTTACTAGGTCTCAGTGTACACCAGTGACATCACTGGTGTGTAACAAGGGCTGCACAGTGTGGACTTGTACCCTCCCTATTGTGCCTGGGAACAGGTGGAAGGGTCTCATTCACACTTTGCAGGGCACAGGAGCCACAGAGACCTCTAGCCCACAGTGTTCTGGAGTTCCTGCAAAGTCAAAGCAAGGCCTATAGGTATGGATCACTCTACAGAATCAGGTGGAAACCACAACTGTTTTAATGAGCCCTCCCAACCCATTCCTATATATGCCAAATTCCAAACTTAGCTGAAGCAGATTTGGGTCAAGATGAACCATTACAATATTGAATTAGATATCTACAGGGGCAATAACTCCACTATGATCCTTTCTAGTATTTTGTCCCCACTTTCCCCAGACTTTTGGAAGATCGCTGTGTGTCCCTCAGCTGGGAATATAATCAGATCAGTTCTAGAAAGAGGCAGGATATAACTTCAGAATGCTACTCAAACTCACCGGAAAAAGTGAAATGGAAGACCCTGCCCTGGATGGCTGCTGCTGACTTCAGCTGAATCTTCATGTATCACAAAATTTACCAGATCAGGAAAGAGAGACCGAAAATGCTTCATTTCATCATAAGACCGATACTGTCCTGTCTTGTGAGAAACACAGTACATGAAACAATATTTATATGAGCTATTTTTTCTCACAAGCCTAAGGAATATATCACATTCTGTCATACATCCCATCCAATAAAAGTTACCTTGATTACAAGAGGCTGTGATTGCAGGAGATTTTCTGATAGCTGTCCTAGGTCAGCTGCTGCCCTAAGATTTTTCATGGAACAACAGCAAGAGCAATTGGCAGTCAGAGAAACATTCTGTCTACAATCCAGGCTCCACCAGTCTTGACATTCTTTGAAGGGAAAGGACATAAAAGGTTTGTGAACTCTTAATATGTTACTTAAACAAATAACAATGGGCTCCAAACGCTATACTTGTCATCAGTAAGCCTGTGGTGGAATATCATGACATTACAAATCAGTTCCAAGGCTAATTCACTGAACAGGAACCTTTAAGCTTGATATGAACAAAAAAAGGGACAGGAACCATTTGGTGAATCTCAGGCAGAGAGCACACCTTCAAGACTGCCTCTCCCCATAGGAGCCCCGGAGGACACTGCGTCTGCAAATCAACATCTTCTAGCAGTCCCCGGCCCCAGGGACATCCGACTAGCCTTCAACCAGGGCCAGGGCTTTTTTGGCCCTGGCCCCCACCTGAGCTCCCCTATGAGATCAGGGACCTGTGGGATCTATTACAGTTCCGCAGGGCCAGTAAGACAGAGCTCTTCCACTAGGCCTCTGGCTGAGGCAGCGGGCGTTCCTCTTCCCTCCTGGCTATCTTCCCTCTAGTGGCCTGAATTTCAAATAAGCTGATTGACATTGGAACTCACTGTTGCACAGTATTTTAGGGTTTTATTGTTTTAAATCATCTTTTAATGGTTATTTTAATGGTATTATATTAAAAACCGTTGTAAACTGCCCTGAGCCCACCCGCGGGGAGGGCGGTATATAAATCGAATAAATAAACAAACACCTCCAGGTGGCAATGCATCATGCTGCTCTTGGATCTTTAAAGTATGACAATATTGGGTACAAGATTAAAGTAAAAGACTTAGCATGTTTTATTAATCAAATACACTGAGTGAGCAAGAAAGGGTGTGATATGCAAACCCATAGCTGAGTTTCAAGACTGCTGTTCCTAATCAATATCTCAGCTCCATCAAATTCAGATGTCAACATTTTTAACACTTCCCTGGAAAGTCCGTCAGTTTGATTAGGGACATTTAACTTGAAACCTTCCATCACTAAACTAAAAATAAGTAAGGTATTATCATCTGTTAGTTCGGTTTTCTCTTAACATAGGCATTTGGAAGGGTCTGAATTAACACTGAAGAAGAATGGAATAGCATCTTATTTCCCTACTTGCTACTTTCCTTATTTTGAAAAAAATGCAGGTACCCATAGCTCAAAAGAAAGCAGTGAAGCTCTTTTATTGTTGTTTTACTTTGTGAGATGTACTTCTTCAAGAGACAAAGTAAGCCACTGAGATCTACTACATGTGGTTTATTAATCTGCAGTCTGAATGCTGCACCTCATGCGCCATCACCAAAATGTGGATTAAGAAAGACAGGATGTTTGTTATTGGAAAATCTGCATCAGAAACTTTTTGAAAAGGATGCTTGATCATGACATTCTACTCCTCTTAAGTATGCAAGTGTGTGCATGCACACACATATGCATGCATGCACATGCACACTTGCTGTTTCACGCAGGCATAAAAACAACTTCATTGTGCATTTCCCATTCCCAGAACCCAAGGCAGAAAATCACTGTCTCCTTCCCTGGCAGGTCAGATGCAAGGACACAAATTAAGAAAAGAGTATTTGACAATGATGGGAAGCAAAGACTTGAAGAAATGCTTTCAGTGACAAACTGGGTTCACCACTGCTACTTTCTCAGTGCTTTGTCACAACAGACTAGGACCAAAGTACACTAATTATGGTAGTGAAGGACCAATAAAGACACTTCTAACAACTATGGCATTTCTGACAACTGCTTCAGAAGATTTACATAATTTGCCAGGCTGAGATTTAGCACAAGACAGTAGCAAAAAACTTTGCCTGGCTGTACAGTAATCATACTTATCAAACAGGGCCCAATTTTGCTTTGTAGCCAACTTGTGGTATTTGCATTCTGAACTGAACAATTCAGGAGATTTATGCTTGCTATAATGAAGTGAGCACTCAAAAAGTAGTCCAAATAGGCTTTTTTGTAAAAAAAAAAAAAAAAACCAAAAAAACACTTTAATTAATCTGAGACTTATTGTTGAGGGTGTTCATTTGCGTATTAGAGCGTGAGTGACCTGCATGAAAAGTATAGTGAAAGGGAGGGTCTGGGTTGGATTTGGACACTGAGAAAGAAGGGGTGACTGATAGATGAATAACAGACTGAGCAAAGAGCAGGGACAATGCACATGCAGGAGTACACAAGGGAATGAATTGGCGCTTTACAAAAGTATTCGCCTTCTCTTTTTTTCCAGTTACGCTCCTGCATTCCTTTTAGATTATAGCTCTTCCCAGGCACACTCAAGAATTATTTTGGCATTAAGTGCAGCAGACCTTGTATGTGATCAGCTTGTAGATTCACAGAAATGTGAGAGTCTTGCACAAACATTGTTTTCATACTGTGATTACAGCATATGAATTAACATGCAAGTAATTGTTCCTTGACTACTGTCACCAAATAAGTGAAGAGTAACACAGTACATGTCACAAAGACCCTCATAAATGTCATAAGTTTGCATGCAAGAATTCAGTCATTATGAAGTGTTTTGTGACTATAAGCCACAAATCTCAAAATCTGTGTGTGTGTTTCATTACCTGGAGCACCAAACCTTTAAAATTTCCAATAGGCAACAGAAGCCACCAAAGACCTGTTTTTAACTCTCATGGTTACAGAGGAACTAATGAAAACACATGGCTACTGTCTGTAAAAATATTAGAGACTAGATGGTCATACTGGGACTTCTAATAGTCAAAGCACGAAATTTCTTCATTCACCGTAAGAGCTAGTTGGAACCCATGGTCCTCTTAGTTTGTTTATTCTGCATCTACATATTAATTTACCACCAGTACAATGCTTTGAGCCTCAGCAACTATGTATGGAATAATGCTGCATATAAAGTGATGAGTTTGTCTGATAGGCTATCATAAGCCACCAGTAATGGCCAAAGTTTCCTCCTGCTTTTTGTTTTCTTCCTATTTACAGCATTCCTCTTTGAGAATCTATATGGGCAGTCAGTGAAATATCTGCCTGACCTTTCAAGAAATCATTTAAATCTTACAGAAAAAGTGGAAATAATAAAATACAGTAAATGATAAATTGCATACATGATCTTATATTCAGAACTCTCTTGTAGGCATGGTGACCAGCTACCCTGTCTACCTATTATATAGTGGCAGTGGAACAGCTGGTAGAATACATGGCATCTTTCAGATCTGGGTGTTAACATAAAACTTTACTGGCTTATTCCTTGCTGTTCTGATTAGAAATGTACAGCATAAATGAGAATGAGGATGGGATGCTGCTAGAGTGGGCAAAGTTGTGAAAGGTAAAGAGTCAGTGTGGTGTAGAGGTTAGAGTGCCAGATTATGATCTGGGAGACCCGGGTTCACATCCCGACTCTGGCATGGAAGCTTGTTGGGTGACACTGAGCCAGCCACATACACTTTGCCTAACCTACCACACAGGGTTGTTGTGAGGATGAAAATGGAGGAGGGAAGAATGTCATCACCGGGGAGAAACGTAAGGTAAAAACAAACACATAGCAGTCAAATGAGAGAAAGCTGCTATAGCCATTAGCTGTTACTGGCAGCACTAATACAGTAGGAACAGCACTGGTTGCTTTAGAGCAGCATAGCTGAAACCACCTGCTAACCCCAGGGAAAGCAGTTTCTAGCCCTACCAGATATAGGCAGCTTGCACTATTATCTTGGATCAGTCTCTGTACCTGGCACATGGAGCAGATCACAGGAACCAACCTGTGACTACCAGGCCAAGGATGAAAAGTCCTGGTGCATAGCTATAGCAGGAGGGAACAAGTCTTGTATAACCCCTTTCCTCCTACTGAGGCCAAAGAAAAGAACAAACAGCACAGACCCCGAGAAGAGCCAGTTAAGCTACTATAAATATTGAACGCTCATCTTCCTCACTCTTAAAAATAGTTATTGCTAACTTGTGATGATCTGCATATCTTTGCCTCCCAGTTTAAAGAGGCCATGTACGTGCAAGAGATCTGACATATAAAGACTAACCTAAAAGTTACTATTATAAATGAACCGCTATTGCTGTGATGAGGGGAAAAATGCAGCTGAAGTCACACAATTCTTCCTTCATCAAAAGATTTTATCTGGACAGCATACAGAGACAACGACATCAGTTAAAAATCACTATTGTTTCCCCGTATTATTACTAAGCACCACATTTCTGGGCCAAAACACTGAGAAGCATCTCTTGGCCTTCATTAGTCAGCATATCTTCGTCCTACATCTGTTCTGACTCCAGAACTAGTCAGCTGTCCTGTTAGCCCCAAAGGAACCAAGATCCTTAACTTTTATTGATTCATTTGCTGTTGCCCAGAGGTGCATGTAGACTGAAGCTGTCACCATAGCAGTCAGCCTGTCAGTCAGTCTTAAACTCCATCTCTTATAACATCAAAGTTACTTACTTCTGTTTGTCCCCATGCTGTTTCTACAAGAACGACATACCATACATAAACATTTTCTCTGCAATATTCTCTATACAATAATGAACGTAAATGCTGAGAAGCCTAAGAGATAAGACATCAGGATTCAGTAGCTAAGGAAACTAAGTCATTAAGGCCAGGGTCTACTGGATCATTTTTTATTCCCATTATTTGAATGACTGTCACTTTCTCTGCTCTGTATATGTTCCTTAGTTTTGCTGCAATGAGTATTCCATTCCACATCTTCTACTGATCCACTGTTTGGATGCATGTATAATAAGAATTAGAGCCAGTTTGGTGCAGTGGTTAAGTGTGCGGACTCTAATCTGGGAGAACTGGGTTTGAATCCCCACTCCTCCACTTGCACCTGCTGATGTGACCTTGGGTCGGTCACAAGCTCTGGCACAGCTGTCCTTGAAAAAGAGCAGTTTGTGTCAGAGCTCTCTCAGCCTCACCCACCTCACAGGGTGTCTGTTGTGGAGAGGGGAAGGGAAAGGAGTTTGTAAGCCGCTCTGAGACTCCAAGTGAAGGGCGGGGTATAAATCCAATCTCTTCTTCTTCTTCTTCTTCTTTATACTTTGTATGTGTTTGTTATGTCTTACAGCTATT